ATGGCTTCTACAGCCTTAGAGAAACACCTGTTCGTTTCCTGTTGCCGGCTCTTCCCCTCTCATGAATTCTCACTCCATCACAACCCTTCAGCATTGAAATCTAGTGATATGTGATAGTTCTTTAGTGGGAAATCTCCTTGGTGTTGCCCTCTGTATCTGAGATGCCAGAATAAGAAATCAGACTATTATTTACAGGGAATTTTCAAATGCATGAATTTTATCTAATGGGGTGTCCTGAAAAACATTATCTAGAAGCCCTTGGGCACACTTTCAACAACCACAAAAAACTTTTGATAGCCTTTCTTAATAATCTCCATAGTGGCTAAATAAATTTGTTTTTTCCCCCCTCCTCTACTATGTTCATGTAAATTAATTGCTCTTGCCGCCTCCAGCCTCGTTTATTGGTTTCATTTTTTGTCTGTGAAAATTTTCAATTTGTCCTTGATGGTCCTAGCAAACAAATACTAAATACGTAGTCTGATAGTCCCTGGCTGTGTCTACAAAGCCACAGGGGTAGGAGGCTGTGGGTTTTTTAGGGAATTCATGCAGGTTAGACAGAAGACCTAGTAAAGCCTCATGCTGGGGTAAGACCCTTTTATCCTGGGTCCTCTGTTGGACAGCCATGTCACCAGGATGCTGTGGCAGGAAATGATTGATTTTTGTTGCCAACCTCGAAGACCAAAAATATAACCTCAAACATCCCATGCTCTTTTAAGACCTCATTAGAAGTCACCCCTAACTTTGTTTACATCTTTTTTGAGGCTATTTTTACTTTTATTGAATAGGAGCCTCTTGTGTAATGAGTTCAATAATTTTACGACTTGTGACCTGATCCTGTCACCTGGTGCACTATGGTGACCAGATTCACCCCCCAGAGCCACTCACACATCTCTAATCTGCCTCATGCACTTCTCCTGGGGCATTTTTGGCAGAACCAGAGTCACCGAAAAATGGCTGCAACCTCCTTGACTCACATGCCTTACACACATGGTGCCTGATTCTGTCCTTCTTTGCTGTTTGATCTTGACAGCTTTATCTACAGAATAATTTTAGGACTATGTTTCACTTGCAGAATCCAGATAAATACAAATTTAGATAGTCTCAAGAGGTTGTGTGTGGGTTTGTTCTGGTTTTGTTTGTGTGTTGTTTTGTTTTGAGGGTTATTTTCATTTATTTTGAAGGACCCAGAATGATAATGTATAATGAGGGAATATCCCACCAAATATACAGACGCCTTGGAACTTCTCCCTCCTGCTAACAATTTTAAGGGCACATTTATGGAAGTTTCGTGTCCAAAACCTTAGAAAGCAAGAGCTCTTCAAGAGCCAGTCTTTCCCTACTTTATCAGCCTCCTCTCCTGTCTCTGTAAACTGCACTCCTAAGCTACCCTGGAATTTATCCCTAGTTCTGGAAAATCCATGCTTCTTATATCACCATGCCTCAACATATGCTGTTCTCTTTGCTTGGAATTACCTGTGTTAGCTGCTAAATTGAACAGTTCAAAATGTGACTTCTCCACGAAATCCTATTCTCCGTTCTTCGATGTCACATACGTCACCTCTTAAACTGTAATCACATAGACCTTTGCTCACACCTCTATTTTAATAGGCCTTAGAATTGAATGTAATTTTTTTCATTATGTGCCCATTATCTATCTAGACTATTAGTTCTTCCAGAGCGGAGACCACATCTTCTTATAATTAGCAATCTACCTTATCCTGGTACAACAGGTAATAGAGGGGATATTTGTTGAAACCATGAATGAGTGAGAGCATAAACGACGGTGCACAGCAGTGAGAGGATTTCTATAAACGAATCTGCTCACTCACCCACGTACACATGTGCACGCCACACATTCACACACCATGCGCACACATTCGCCACATACTTACTTGTGCACGTCGGTGCATGTGTACACACACGTGGGTCGAGGTAAACCAGAGCACAAGGCAGAGGCTGGGTGAAGTTGCAGGTGTAACTACTTTCTTTTTTTTTTTTTTTCTTTGCAATTTTTTGCAGTTGTGTCCTTAATCCATTTTCTCCCCTGTCTGAAAGTCATGACTGCTTATGGCTACTTTTTCCCTAGTACATTAACCTAGATTTCTCACAAAGGAATTCATTTTAAATATTACTGGCCTGGGATTTGCTTGTTCTACTTCAAAAGAATGTTCAGCTATTTTTACATACACGATGCAAGGATACTAGGTGAAAAACATAAATACCCACACACGCTGCTTACCTCCACCTTCCGGAACATTAAATATTCCAGAAAATCAGGCCCACCATCGATTTTTCCATAATACCCCAAAAACATATCATTAGCTGGCAATGTGTCAGGCAGGCTTCAACTCAAGTGACAGGCTTCACGTTTAAATCAATTTCGATTAATTTTGCAAGAATCATTCAGAGAAACGTGGCATCAGACCCCTGATTTAAATCAAGATGTATGGCATCCTCCACTTTTCATTTATCTTGTCATTTTACGAGGAAAATGCAGCCATTTGTCTGGCACTTTTTTATATACATATAAACCCAAGCTGCTTATCACTCCTGGTTCCATATCCCCAAGAGAGTCACTTTTTTCCCTCCTAACAGTTGCTCCATTATTTTATTAGTGTCCAAAACGAGACCTCGCAGACAGTGATGATCAGAGAATAATGGAAATTAGAGATGGAAATGACAGATTAGGTCTCCTTGTCTGTTTCCTGGGGCTAATGTTCCTGTCAGTCTGCGACTCGATGCTTTAGCCTGTCTTATTTTAAATGACACCAACATGGGGCCTCCACCAAGTCCCTGGAGGCTCTTGTCTACATCCTAGGACTGCCTCTACGCACAGCCAGAGGGAATGACAAACCCTGTGCAATTACCGAGTGAGGCCAGGCCCGTCCTCGCATGATCTGTCTGCAAGGCGAGGGATGTAGAGGCTTGAGCGATTAGCCACCAAATCCAATCACTGCAGAGGGCCAGCCTAGATCATTCAGGGCCAACAGCGAAATGATATTTTGTCGTTGTTTTCTTCAGCAGCAAGTTCTCAGGCTCGGAGATAGAGAGCTGGTTATCCATCACCCTGCACAACATTTTACTCAGGAAGAATCCTAGTCAACCGAGCTCAGCCACCACATAAGCTAATATCCTGGCTCCACATCCACTATGCAAACGTTTCAGGGGTCAGAGAGCGAGGGGACTAAGGCTACTTTCAACAGCGAATGGCACTCTTTATCCATACCCCGCCTGACATCCATCAGCCAAGTCCTCTGCCCTCCCCACCCATCTTTCAACAACAGGGCACCTTATGTGCACTTACCCTTCTGCCAACGCCTTCCCCCAAATTGTGGGGGGACAGCCTCTCTGATGCGATCTCAGGTTCAGTGGAAACAGAGCAATCCTTCATTTCCACTAACAGAAAAATTCTCATGGCATTTTGACTTCCTCAAGTTTTCTGACCTGTGACTCAGATTTCCTTTCCCTAACTTCATTCTCTCTTGTCCTTATTCCTCAACCTCAACCCCCGTTCCAGAACATTTGCCCTCTTCTAACGTCGATGGGCATCTATCATGCCTTGACTTAGTCATCAGCTGGCCAGTTCTTGGAGTTGAGTTCTTCTACCCTTCATCATAAATCACTCCCCTGGGCTCTTCAATCATTTTTATTGCTCTTCTCCAAACTCTCACCCATTTGTCTCCATATTTATTGCTTTGAGAGTCCAGAACTACATTCAATATTCTAGGCTTGGTCTCGTCAGAATCATACAGAGGAGGCTGATCATCAAGCTCGGGGACGGGAGTCCTCCACAGCAATGTGTGAAATGATGGTGGTTCCTTTGTTCCACCCTGTCAGGCTGCAAACACATTTCTAATCTGCAGAAAAGCAATCACTCTCAGGTGGCTTCTGTCTTGATTTCTTTCTAGTTTTCCCTGTTCCATCGACTGCTACTATTAGTTAGTGCTTATTGATCCCTTTCTCTATCCACCCTGCTCCATGAGGAAACCAACGCAGAAAGCAGGCTCTCAGCACCTGAGACAAAGTAGAACTCTGCTTCTAAAAAGCCAGAGAAGACGACCAGTGGTGATGGTTGCTCAAAAATGTGAGTGTCCTTAATGCCACTGAATTGTATGTACACTTAAAAACAATGAAAATGTGGGGTGCCTGGGTGATTCAGTCAGTTAAGTGTCCGACTTTGGCTCAGGTCATGATCTCACGGTTCATGGGTTCAAGCCTGCATCGTGCTCTGTGCTGACAGCTAGCTCTGTTTTGGAATCTGTATCTCCCTCTCTCTCTGACCCTCCCTTGCTCACGCTGTCTCTCTCTCTCTCAAAAATAAATAGAACATTTAAAATTTTTTTATAAACGATAAAAATGGAAAATTTTATGTGATGTGTATTTCATCACAATAACTTTTTTAATGTAAAAAAAAAAGTTAAAATAAAAAGCCCAGGCAGGGTAACTTCTATCCCAGTCATGTGTGCTGGGGGGAAAGCAAAGTCTCAGAAGGAAATGGTAACTGGGGATCTGGCCAAAACACCCTTACTCAGTAGCAAGCATTCCTGCATCTCCCCCGTGCTGACAGTGGTGGGGACAATGAGTGTCTCCTCATGTCAGTCTTGCAAAGCTCCTCGAGCTCTGGGAGAGCTCCATGGGAGTCCGTGTGGCTTCACGTGCCTCCAACAAAATCATCAGCTATTTTCTGCCTGTGGGATCCTGGTGGCTGGCGGTGGAATGCAAAGGAGGAGGGGGACAGCTTGATTTTCAGATCCCAGCTGGAGGCTGTGGGGCTGCGAGTCAGAGGCATCATCTCTGAACTTGTAAATGGAGAAAGAGATGACACGGACGTCACTGGAATGGTATAAATATGGAAATGCATGGTGACATTTTTACCCATTCGCTATTCAGAATATAACCACCCCTTAGCTCCATTCCTCTCCACACAATTGCTCCGCGTCCTGTCTCCGTGGAGAAGGGTGACATCTGGGAACCGGCTCATTTGCCATCCCCTCACTTACCCCTGGTTTGTGCCCCATTCATTCCGAATGCAAAGATGCTTGTGTACTGGATCCTTCATGTAACCTTCATAGCAAAGGCATTCCCCTTCGAAGCAGGGTAGGAAGAAGGAAAAGAAACATGAAGGAATTGATTAACATGTCTGTTTGAAAACATGAACATGAAATGATCAGATTAAACTCGACTCTAATAATGGTTTGGAAGAAACAATAAATTCCATTAGGTCATGCATCTCTGTCTCCACTGCCCACAGGAATGAACACACCTCCAATGTCTCCATTTTCTACTACAGAGGAATCTAACATTTGCAAAGAACCTACTAAACGTGCTCAGTGAACACAAAGAATGAGAACTCTGAGTAAAAGGACTTTTTCATTCTTATTTTCTCAGTGCCAAGTCCACTGCAAGGTGCATATTAGAGGATCATTAAGTGTTTAAAGAGCACATAGTGATGTATTTCATCAAATATTTCTAAGAAACTTGAAAAGTAGGTATTATTGGCTATGCTATGCTGATAGTGGAAACTGAGGCTCAGAACAATTAAGGGATCTGAAGACAGCTTATAAGTGGCAGAGTTAATATTTAAGCCTCTGACTGTCCATCTCTGGACCTTTATCCTCACCCTGCCATGCTGTTGGCCCACAGAACAACTATATACTTAGAGGAGGCCACTTATATTTATTATAGTTTTTATAAATTCTGGGTTTTAGTTGTTAAATTAAAATGGCTAATTATTTTCAAGCTTTTAAACAGAAGAACCATCCACAATTCTATTTTTGTTTAGGATATTACTATGCTTCCTTACCATTCGTTACTCCATTAATATACCAAATGGCCCACAACTCCTTTGGAACCATATGCAACACTGTATATGTGTGTGTGTGCATCTCCTCATGGCAGATTCCTTAACAGTCTTCTGATTTACATGCAAAATCAAGACCTCCCAAAGATTAAGAATCATTGCTTCACTTACTACTGATTTTGGAAACATTTACTGCCATGCCCTTATATTAATAATCCTTGAGTAAGGCTATGTATCCCTACACTGCTGAGACCAGAGCCACTGAAACGCTCATGTGACCTCTGTCACTGGCTGGGTAATCCATAGGTGTAAAAGGACAGGGTATGACTTCCTAAAATTTGTAAACAGTAAAAAGTGGCATGCCCAAAAGAGACAAGGGACATAAGGTTTCCTCATCTTTCTAGGAAGAGACACTTTAGAAAAGGATAAACATAGCTTTGAGTTTGATTTTCTGTTTTCAAAGATTTAAAAAAAAAAAAACAATAAAAATGAAGTGAGGGGCCCCCAAAATTTTAGAGGGAAAGGTCTGGGTAGGTTCTAAAGCAATGAGGTTTTTTGTTTGTTTGTTTGTTAGGATCTAAGCTTAACCTTGCCTTCCAAGATGGGCCTATAAGCTATTGACCATCAGGGCCCCACTACCAGATAACACCCATTTTCTTCTCCCACATCTGTTTAACTCAAGGTTTTGAGGAGTGGAGTGAAAATTAGTTAATTTCTTAGTTTATGAGGGGGTCTACACAGGGTATGAGGTCACTGCTTTGTCTCCTGTATGGGAAACTCAGACTTCCACATGGGAAACTCAGATTCACAACAGGCTCAAATTTACTGGCTTCCGTGGTGCTGAGCTGTGTCCAAGAATGGTCAGGGAGCTAGGAGTGGAACATAGGAAAACAAAGCTAGAAGTCAGGGAGATGATAATAAAGCTTTCAGATGAATGATGTTTCTCTGGGAGAAGAGAAGATAAAGAAGGCAAATACCAGAAGATCATAAAAGAAGAAAATTACTAAGGGGCCGGGCTTCATATCTTACCAATTCCAAAGAAAGCATGGACTTGAGACTATAAGCCACACAAAGGCATGAACAAAGTTAGGTTTTGTTGTTGTTGCTCTTTTGTTTTGTTTTGTTGCATAAGTGGGGATTTTATAAACAGTGCATAATGGAAAATTAATTAAATAACTTCAAATTTTGCCCTGAATTTACAGATAACACGACCACCACCACTCTAAAGATGCAGATGAAAGGCAACTAGTGGGTCTAGTGCACAAACAGACTTCTCCCTTCAGAAGATCACATCCCAGGTGTCCTGTGGACATCAGGGTATGATATTGAAAAAGAAGAAGTGACCTCAAGAGGTTGCCGAGCCCATCCCTCTGACTCTTAACAAGAATCTTGGCTGGACGCCATGCCCTAGACTTAAGGACTGACCAAAAAGGGAGTTCGTCCACGTTTGAGATCTAGTTACTGCCAAATATGTAAAAATAAGTGCAGTAACAACTGAGAGTTCAAGCAAAGCCTGGTTTTCCTAATGATGGCAATGCCTACCATTTGTCAAGCACATTCACCTTTCTCAAATTGCCTTCACAATCATTATCTCCTCGTAAGGTTCCGTCCGTCACTGCATGGGGATGCACAGCCAACAAGATAGAGCTTCCCTCTAATGTCACATGCGGCCCAAAGTCGGAGCAACAGAGACATTTTCAAACATATCGGGCTAGAGTTTGAGGATATCCAAAATCCGCCTCTCAAATGATCCTCATTTCCGGGACCCACCAAACACACCCCTTCTGTATTCCTCCTCAAAACCAGTTGGACCATCTACACTGAAAAAGAGTTCAGACTTGATGAGGAAAGTTGCTATGGCAACCAAATGCTAAATCTTGACTTTAAGAGGGGTTTCGTGCAAGCACAAGCACCGACTGTTAGCTGTGAATTTTAAAGACCCCACAAGGGTGTTGGATGCCCTCCTAAGCTCAAAGTGTTACAGTCTCTGCATCTGCTGTGACAGATGGCGGGGAACACATGACGCGCCGGCTTTGTGGTGGTGTTCACAGGGATCCAACGGAGGGACGTGTCACGGCCACGGAGAGGTGCCCAATCGGGATGGATTGTGCCCTGCAGGAGGCACGCACAGGCAACCGCACTACCAGAGAGTAGAAGGCCACCAAGAGGTGAGCCAGGCAGGGCCTGGACATGGCTACACTTGATTTGTGCTTGGTACCCTCAGGTGAAATGCCTTGAGTGACTTGTACGGTGTCCTGTGCCCTCCCTCATTCCCCATTCTGTAAGTGAAGGAGGGAAGTGCAAATCTCATCAAAGGATCAACAAGAGACCTTGAGTCAAGGGCTCCTCAGACATGACTGGGCCGGACTTGATGTGGCCAAAAGCCCTGACTCACCTATCCTTCAGGTAGCTGCTAGTGGTGTGTTCCATCTAAAAAGGGAAATCTCTGTAAGACATCTGGACTCAGGTAACATCTAACCGCCTGGTCTCCTCCCCTGTGGAGACATCAGGCAAGAGGCAAGCCCAGAGTCAAACAGCCCCACGTGACTCTGAGAGGGCAGACAGAGGGAAGTATGCCAACAGCACATCCTGAAGGAAGGGGTTTGAATAAAGTTTGGAAAGAGTGGGCAATCCAGGTGGGAAGAACAAAATTGGAAGCGATGCTACTCTGACAAATTGGGTGAGAGAGAGAGGCAGTGGTTCAGATCAAGGAGAGGGGAGGAGGGCTCGAGTGAGTCTGGGAAACTGGTCCATTGCCCCTCACCAGGTTTTACACATTTCTCTATGGTTAGGACTGGCTTCTAGAAAGATCTGGGGTAGGAAGAATTTAGGTGGGTGGCAATCTTGAATAGCCATTAAAATCTGATTTAGCTTGGAAGCCCATGCTCCTTGTAGACCCATAAAAGCTACATACATGTCTTGAAAAGGGCAGAGAGCATCTGTGGCCAGGACTGACGGGGGCTGTGAAATCAAGCAGGTGTGCATGAAGCCTCCACAGCTGCCCAACTGGTGGAACAAAGGCCGGGAACGGAGTGGTGGGAAAAGTTGCTGAAACCAGTTGCTTCGTGTTTCCATCAGGAAACAGGCAATCGAGCAAACATGCAACTGTAAACAAAGCCCTTAGGAAGTAAGGAAAAGTCAACCTCCGGCTTGATCCAGGCAGGGCACTAAGTCATTCAACCTCAGTGGCTTGCTGTTAGCCCACCTGGACCTGAGCCGCACCTAGGGTTCCAAACCTGGGCAGATCTGGGGGAGAATTCGGCGTGCACTTGGCCGAGGGCTTCCAGGCACTGGACTAAGAGCTCCAGGTACACTACATCTCTCCCAAAGACTGTGTTGCTACAGTGTAGGAGGGAGGCTGAAGTGGAAAACAGATCAGCAAGCTTCCTCCAGCTCGTTCTTCTGGAGACCCCTGATGCACCTTCTGAAGATCGATGTAGCCATCTCTATGTACTGGGCTGGGATAACGTTAACCATGCTTGTTCTTTCCCTCCTTCGGTTTCTACAGGCGCCATACAAATGACCACAAACTTCGTGGTTTAAACAACACTACTTTATTATCTTACAGCTCTGTAGTCAGAAGCCTGACATAAATCTCATGGGGCTAAAAACAAGGTGTCTGCAGACCTACATTTCTTATTAGAGCCTGGAGAGGAGAAGTCTGATTCCTTGCCTTTTCCCCCTTCTACAGGTGGCCACATTCGTGGCTCCATGCCCTGTCTGTTCAGCTCCAAAGCCAGCACGGGCTGGTGGGGTCCTTCTCGTGTCGTGTCACCCTGGCCTCCTCTTCTGCCTCCCTCTTTCTCTTTTTAAGGACCTTGTGATTGTATTGGGCTCACCTGGTTGATCCAGCCACCCTGGTTCATCTTTGCCATGTAACAAAACTTGTTCACAGGTTCTGGGGAAGAGGAGAGCATCTTTGGGGGCCCAATATTCTGCCTACTGCAGCTGTCATTCTGGACCACTGTGCAGGTGATGCATAAACACATGCTTAACTTTGGAACGTTCTGGAAGGTTGCCTGAGGAGGGCTCCAGGCCCCAGGGGATGCTTCTTTGCGGTGGCTGAGCATGCGTTTCTGTGTGTCCGTGCATGCGCGTGCGTGAAGGACACACGTGCATTTGCACCGTTCCACTTCTCCATGTAGGCAGGCCCCTCGGCATGGCTGGGAAAGCACACGTCCCAAGTGAGTTAGCTGGAAGATTGCAAAAATAACGTCGGCTTGACTCGCAGCCAATTCCCACACGCAGCTCTTTGGAGAAAGGCTCTAGGATGTAGTGTGGGAGGCGATAAAGTTTCTTACTGATGAGCGTGTGGGATGACCACATCATCCCATGTGTGGGAAGAAGCAGGGCGGGAAGGGGGAGGGCTTCCAATTCCAGCATTAATGAAAATAAGTCTCCCAGCAGCGCTTCGGAGATGAAGATGTTGCACCTTAGCTCTGTGCGGGCTTTGGGTTCCTCTCTGCCATCTCCCGTGTGGCTTTCCATTTGGATACTCATTAACTGTCACAGATACGGGGAAGCCACTGGCAGAGGAAGGCTTCCTAAGTCATTTTCGGCAAGGCTTAGCAATAAGATGTCTGGGAAGACTGAAGAGGGAGGTGATAGGAACTTCGCTGTGGACAAGCGAGCCCCTGGCTCCTGGCTCAGGGAGCGTGCTCAGTATAACGAGGGCTGTTTACATAGTTTTTGATGACAGATATGCTGGATCTGACGTGTCTGGGGAAATCAAGCATCCCTTGATAATCCCATCTCTGCTCTGACTTCATGATGGATGGAATACATACTTATGCCTTAGGAAGCCGTGGGGCTTCAGGTGAGTTATGCACCTTCTCGGGGAATTCACACATTGATCTAAGAGTAAGAAGGTGGTTTCTCTCTAAGACCCTCCATGCATAAAACACCGCCCCCTTCCCCTCACATGTAATTAAAAGGGCTTCCTGCTCTTTAAAACCTCAGTAGAGGCTTCCCAGGCCCTCTGGAGATCCTGCTTCTCTCAGAAGTGAATTTAACAGCTAAGCTCGTCCCAGGATCTCCCAATCCAAGTCAGTGGTGGGGACCAGAGACCAGCACTGCTGCACAGAGAGGCCCTGCCTTGGAGATGAGCCCTTTTTCCTTTCTCCTGAGCACACTGGCGTTTGGGCATGGTACACAGCCCATCTGTTTGATTTGGTGTTTGCCTGACGGCGTGGGAGGAGCAGTAAGTAAGCACAGTCTTCGACATCAGATGTTTAAAATGCTGTACTTTCTCTTCCATATGGGGGCCTGGAAGACCTGCGACGGGCCCAGGTGAGAACAGCTCTTAGGCCTAAGAAGGTGAACTTCAGACATTGTAGCCACCTATCTCCCCCAGGGACATCTAGCAATGGTTGTAACAGAAGTCAGGCTGAATCTCCTGGACTCAACCTCTACTAATATCCCTCCACCCCAGCACCTGAAGATGCATCCGTAGGTGTGTGTGTGTGTGTGTGTGTGCACACACGCACATGTATATATGTATGATGTGTGCCTGGGTATGTATGTGCATGTGTGTGTGTACTGTGTATGCTTATAGATGTGTGTGCTTGTGTGTATGTGTGTGCATATACACGTGTATGTGCGTAAGTGTATGTGCTTGCACATGCAGGCATACTTGTGTACGTATATGCATGTGTGTATATGTGCTGCATGTATGCATGCATGTGCATGCATGCGTGTAAGTGTATGTGCACAATGCACACATGTATGCCTATGTACATTTATGCATGTGTGTATGGGTGAATGTATGTGCATGTGTGCACGCGCACACGTGTCCATGTGTGTGCATGTACATGCACATGTGTGCGACTGTGTGCATGCATGTGTTATGTGTATGTGTGTGTGGGTATATGTGTGGTGGAGAAGAGGTCCATGAGGTACACTGAGGTACAGAGAGCTGGAGGACTTGGCCCCTAACTCACAGCATTTCCCTTGAGGATCTTAGCTACCATTACACCCCTTCCTTTGTTCTGAGACAAATACTATTCCTCTGGGAAGGATCTATCTGTAGAACTGAATCTACTGGAACCAGATCTTTCTAAAGACTATTGGAAACGAACGCTTTCTACAAGGAATATACACAGCAACCTGGATGGAGGGCCCACACTCCTCAGTATCCTGGAGCTCACGAAGCTCTCAGAGCATGGCCATGCACGCCGGTGTGAATACCAGACATTCTCAGGGATGTCCCACCCCCTTCCTAAGATTTATCTGGGGCATATAACTTCAGATGTACCCTGCATTTATGTGGAAAGACATTCATTTTGGTAGTATTTGTAAAAATTAAACATTTAAAGCATCCTAAATGTCAAATAATAGGCAACTATTTAAATGAGCTATGCTATAGGTGTACAATGGAACACCAAATAGCCATTAAAATTATGTTATTGATGGTTATTTAATGGTTCTGGGAACTTTTGATGATAGAATGTTAAGTGAAAAAAATCAAGAAAATGCTACTGGATTTAGTGGGCTTATGAGTCTCTAAAAATCATGCACAGCTAAAGATCAGAAGGGACAACATTACAATTTTAAAATGGTTTCTCCAGAAGACAGAATTATAGATGATTATCATTCTCTTCAATGAGCTTTTCTAACTTTTCCAAATTTTCTGCAATAAACATGCATAAAAAGTCGGGCCCCAGTAGCTGACATCTGCTAAATGGATGGCAAATGGGTGTGCGGGTCATCTTAAACAGCTCTATATGGGGGTGGGGCAGAAAAGATACCTCCAAGGCTTCTGCTGGGGGAGGACACATTATAAGCCAACATGCTCGAGGGCCCAGCCACACACTGGCAGCTTGCACGGTTTAGGCTCCCAAATGCAATGGAAAAATAGGGAGAGACGATCTGGGTTTCCAGGGGGGTGATTGCAAGAGGCATGAACTCTGACAGTTACCCGCTGCCCGGTGCTCCCGCCTACCAGTTTCAGGGTCGCACTGGTGTTCGCAGGGGTCCAGGAGCCGCCGGGCACAGAGGTCCATGGCCCAGGGCCCACTGGAGTTCTGCTGAGAGAAGAGAACCACTTGGGCTGGGTTCAGCCAGTCACTGGCATCCAGCTGGCTCCCCTCCAGCAAGATGAAGCGGCTCCCTGCAGGAGAGAGAAAGGAGGCATGCCTGTGTGTGCACACAACACACACACATACACACACACACACACACACACACACACTACTGAAGACAGAGTAAGGGAGGGTCTGCAGAATGCCCCAAGCCGAGATCATTACCCCTACCAGCCCTAGCCTGTCACGAGCCCCCCAGCGAGGGACCAGCAGATGGAGGCTCGGCCACCACCTGGATCTCCTGCCATATCGTCCCCTGCCACCTTGCTCCATCCCATCTCTACCAGGTGGACCCAGGGAATCCTGGGACAGAGCAGCTCTGTGATGGCCATGGCGTGGGTCCATCAGACCCAGTCACAGGCACTGGCGCTCGCCCAAGGAACAGGGACCTCCTGCCTTGTCTCCGCTTGCCACGAAATAGCAGGCCCTCTAACACCACGGACAATCCCCACCTGTTTTCAGCCTTCTAGTGGCAGAGAGAACAGACATTAACAAGTCAATTAGTTACTCCGGGCTTAACAAATTCAGGGCCTCCTGGAACCCGTATCACTCCGTCATTATATTGGGGTCCCCCTGGATGAAAGTGAATTATCACTCCGGTGTTCTAGGCTTTAGCAAGTTACTGCAATTAGGGATTTCTCACCCGGGCACACCCAGACCGAAGCATGGCTGATTCTTAATCACCTCCTCTGCTCCACATAGCCTCTCCCTTCCCCAAATCCAGGGAATCTAGGTGTCAATCTACCTGTATCCAGCATGCTCTGTATTTCTCCACAAAGCCAGGGGCTTATTTTAAAACAAACAGAAATGAGAAATTGGACTGGGTACAGAGAAGAGGAGGTAATCTGTTCAATTTTGTGGGTTTTTTTTTTTTAACCTGCTTTCTGATTTCATCTGTGGACAATCCAAATTTATCCTAAGCCCTACGTATCTGGGTTTATTTTTCTCTCGTTTACAGTCGTAAGTAACAGTGACCCCTGGCTGCTCCTTCTTTCCCGCCCAACCCAAAAACTTCCTCTTTGGGGAGGAAGCCGCATCCTTGGAAGTGAGCTCACCATCGGCGATCAGGTGCTCGGGGACGTGCAGGGTGATTTTGACAACGAGGGGGCAGCTGACGTGGGAGGAGCACACGAGACCGATCACGCAGCTGGTGACGCTGATCAGTGTCAAGGTGGTCTTATTCACAGGACTTCGGGGGGAGCCCACTGGAAGCAAGAGACAAGCAAGGCACGTGGCGGTAAGAATCTCGGCAGTGGAGGCCAATGGGGCCTTCTGCTGTCCAACCCGGCAAACAGGGGAGGCAGTGGGCAAACCTCACCCAGGCGGGAAATGTTTCAGCTCACCACCCCGGTGAGCTTCATCCTCCTGGAATACCATGTGACTTGTCAGCTGGAGTCACAGGGGCTTAGCCTACTGGTGGCCCTCAGGGTCAACAGTGGCCAGCCGTGTGCAAGTTCTCTGCACTTGTCTTGGGACAGGTTCGCAAAGAAATCATAAAGGAGGGCATTCTCCCTATCGCTTGGCTGAGCTCCACCCTCTCGCTCAAGGGTGGCACAGAGGCCTCTACCACACGCTAGACCTCTGCACTTCTCACCGCTTCTCACAGAGGGTACTCTCACAAACCAGCCCCTCCTCTCCCAGGGCTCCAGCCACCTCTCCAACTACCTCTTGAGGAACTTCCCGAGCTCTGCAGGTGGCAGACCTACAGCTGACTCTTCCTCTCTAGGGCCTGGAAAGAGGAAAGTCTCGCTGTATGAGCAGAGGATGCTGTCATGCCTGAAGGGTCTCCCCAGTCCGGCAGTCACTGGGACAAGGTTATAAACGGCAGCTTGGTGAGAACATAATAATGCTGAGAAGACACACTCCCAGGCAGGCATGGACAGGAATAGGAAGGAAGGTTTTCTTGCTGTGTTTTTGTTGGTTTGGTTTTGGTTTTTGTGGAGAGGATAAATGGTAGTAACAAGAGGGACCGTATACCTGGAGGCAGAACAGATGTGTGAAAGAAAGCAAGTTGCCAACAATATGTGACATCCTTTGTAATCTTCTTATCATCTGACCTGCGTTGGCATTTATTAGCGACAGAAATAAAAGGCATCTGTTATGTCAGACAGTGTGCTAAGTGCTTGGCATACATTATTTTATTTTTATTATTTGCTTCCTTGAAATGAATCTATGAGTCTGTATAGTAACTACCCACTTTACAGGTAAGGAGAGTAAGTCTCCAAGAGATTAACCTCATAGCGATAGTTAAAACTTAAGAAGTGTAATTATGTGTCAGGCGCCAGTGCCCAGGCTTCACGGGGCTCATATCATTTAAAGTGGCCACAATCTGAGCAGGCGGCTCCCACAGAGGGACAATCACAGAGGCAATGGGGCACGTCCGGGGTCAAGCAGCTACTAAGGAGCCGGGATCAAAGCACAGGTCCAGCTGAGGCTGCCACCTCTGGATGAGCAGGCCCAGATGGCCCCAGGTCCCCTGAGCCGGTGAGCCGGCAGCCACTGGGATGAGACTCCAGGGTGGCAGGCAGACTCTGGGTCCTTGGTCCCTGGCTACCTGGAGATATCCTATTCATGTCAGTAGCCCTTCAGCCAAGGGTCGATTTCCCCACACTTACAAATCTCAACCTCCAGCCCAGAGCAGCCCTGAGCAGCAGATCTACCACCAGCACATCCCCCAGGCTCTCGATTGTGAAACCAGACTCTCCCTCTTTTCCAATTTTCCATCACCTGGAGAACGGTGCCCTCAGCTACTTGGCTTTCTCAAGTGGGAAAACTCCATCTTATCCAACCCTTTCTTCTGTTTCAGAAGCCACATCCTCCACCACCTCTAATGCCATTAAGTCTTTTCTCACCTTGCGTCCAAAGTTCCTCTTGCCTACATTCTCTCCATCCCTGCCCACATCAGCATCGCACACCCAGACCACGGCCATAGCCATCTGCCCTGTCTCCCTGCCTCAACCTCCCCCACCCTCACCTACCCTCTACCCCTGCCCAGAGGGACCCTTCACGAAGCAGAAGCAGACTGGGGCCATGCTCTTTAAAAGCCTCCTGTGATGCCAACTCAAGTGCTAGGTCCAAGTCCTCCAGTCGAGGTGTGCGATCTTGCAGCCTCGGTTCCTAAGCAAGCTGAAAACCTGCACGATCAGCTTCATTCAAGTAAACTCTTTACCACTCTCTGACTAGACCATTATCGTTTATGTCTCTGTGACTTTGCACATATCATCTCCTCCTCCGCCGAATGCCACTTTGTCACCTTGTCAGCCTGGCATACACCTACTCTTCAAGTCTCAGCTCAAACAGCATCTCCTTGTAAACACTTCCCTGAAACCTTTAAGAGCAGATTCTCACTCATTCCATGCTGTTCCTCTAACCCTGGGTGCACCGTGCTGTTATAGCTTTTATCACACAGCGTTGTTACTGTTTACTCATGGGACAGCAATAAGTCGCTATTCCTCTTCCCGTCGCTCCGGTCCTTCTGCATCATCAGCCCGTCATCCAGTGTCTCTACCTGGCTTCAAAATTTCCTGTGGTTCTCTAGGACCTACAGAGCGAAGTGCAAACTCATGGCACATGTATAGTCCTTTGGTAGCTGGCCTGTTGTACAGCCCCTACCATGTGTTCATATACTTACACCCCGGACTAGAGCCGCCATATTGAACTACTCTTACTTGCTTTAAAACAACCATGTTCTTTTGTGCCTTCAAGGCTTCACATATGCTATTTTCCTTCCTAGGACGTCCTTATGTTACTGTATATAGCCCAGGTCTCATTATTTTCTCCTTTTTTGCCTCCTATTGCTGTCACGTAGAATGACCTGTTCTGTCTTCTGAGGACTCACTTTACCTTATTTATAATACTAAATTAAGCCTTATCACCGTGCCACATTTTCACGTTTCTTCCTCCTACCACAGAGCCTGACCTATAGCAGGTGAGTTATAAAATTTCTTGCTGCCTGATTGATGTACTCCATGCAATTTGACAAACACAAGCATCTATTATAGGCAAAAATCCTCCACTAGGCACTTTGGAAAAATAAATTAGACATGCCCATCCCTAAGAAGCTTACAGTCTAGTTAATAGCAATAAACAGTTGATGTACTCGGGAGCGCTTGGTATTTTAAAGGAACAGTTTTACACTGCAAAGAAACTCATTCTAATTCATTACTATGGATTTTCTTAAAACAGGATTTTCTTAAAGAACACACCCCACTCTGGGTTGGATGGGCCTAGGGTGACTATCTGCTGTATATAAATAGGTAAAGAGGATCAAAGGATCCACATTCTTACCCTCAGGGATACTAGGGCACCCAACCCTAGGCTGCCTGGAGCCCCACTCATCTCTCATGAAAAAGGGTGGGAAGGAGTTTTGTCCTGATAGTAGCAAAGCTTAAAGAAACTGGAAATAAGGAATTAAAAGGGCTGCTTCCTATCTCTGGGGAGAACGCCCTCAGCATGGAAGAAACTCAAGTGGAGGCAGGAGAGAGTCAAAATGAAATGTCATTTGGGGGGCACTCATTGATTATTGGTTGGGGAAAATGCTATAGAGTATAACACAAGGGATACCACTCAAATATCCTCCACCATATCTCAAGGGGTCCCTGTCCAAGATTCTTTAAGATGGAATGCTGTGCAAGCCCAAGGCCACACCGTGGAGAGGTCTGGGAGCAACGACAATGGGGACTGCACAGTGCTCTGCCAGTCACCCAAAGAGGCACATTTTAAGATAATTTAGTCCTGAGAGTAGCCCTGTGCATGATGCACTCCTAACACACTTAATACATGGGGGAAACGGAGGCTCAGAGAAGCCACTGTCCTTAACCAATATCACACAAGTCGATGGTGAAGCCTGTGGAACCCACACCTCCCTCGGTGACAACAGCAAGGTCATAAGCAGTGGCGACCCTATCTACAGCACACGTACTCGAACTTCAGGTGGAGTGAAACAGACACTGGTTGCGTGGAGTAACAACCCTATCAGTGGTGAGGGGGATGAGTGAATTAACCGGGACCCTGTCAGGAGCGAGAAGGGGACTTGGAGGCTCTGGGGTCTTGTGATTCTACCAGATAGAGGATCAAAGGTCAAACACCACAACACGTGCATGTCAGCCATAGATCGTTCCTCAACCTCCCCACCCCACAGCCGCTGCTCTGCCCAATCCCAAGGCTGGTGTGGCTGGGTAAGCAAGAGTACATATGCTGCCCACATTTTCACATATAATGCACTTTATCAACTTTATTTCCTGTGTCTAAACAGCAAAATATGACTCCCGAGGCTTCCAGAAGGAATTGAGAGTCTTCTGACCAAGAAATAGCCTTTCAAACAACTTGAAAACTTGTTTGAGAGTGCCATTATCTGGGAGAGATGATTCTCGGAAATTTTCCACTCTAGGCTCTTCTTTCTTCCTTAGGAGGAAACACCGGTCTGATCCAAGAATGCTTCCTGCAGAAACTGGCCTTGGTCCACAGGCCCCCAAACCCACCCAGCACCTCTGCAGCAACCTGCCTCCCCTCCCCAGAGCCCCGTCACCGCTGCGCCCCTCCACCTTTCCCACCTCGGCTACGCCTCCGGCTCCTCGAGGGGTCAGTATAGAAGGTCAGCTGGGGGTCGTTTTCCGTCTCTGTGCCAGAGTCTCCTTCAGGGTTCAGGAAGGCGGAACCAGCTGTAATGAAAAGCAGCACAACAAAGTCGACATCTTCAGTTTCTCCTTCATGACACCAAATCGCTGGGCAAGTTCAAGAGAAAAATCGATAGAAACAAGAGCGGGTTGACTGACAATCTGGGAGGGGTAGCCGCGGACATTGGAGCTTCCTGATACACAGATTTATTGGAGAAGTGGACCTTTTCGTGACAACGGTCATCAGCGCCTTCTCCGCCCAGCCTGTGCTCCCTGCAAGGGGGGGAGGGAGAGCTGCCCTCCCAGAGAGGACCCCGCCCAGCCCGTGCTCCCCGCAAGGGGTGTGGGGGGAGAGGGACAGCCGCACTGCCAGAGAGGACCTTCATGGATGGAGGGAAAGGAAGGGAGGGAAACTGCCCTCCTCAGAAGTTAACATAGCCTATTTCTGCTTTTTTCCTAGAATTAATATACATTTTGTGTGAAAAAGAGGAAAGAATAATGAAATACGTAGAACTGTGTAAAGGGAACAACCTGATGTCCTCTAAACCCTGACCATCAGGGGAAAACTAACATTTGGTTCGTATGCTCTCTTTTTCTGATACAGAAACAGATAAAGTTTTCTTAATGTCCCCTTAAAAATGGCATTTTGCTGTACCTTCAATTTTATGGCCTTGGTTTTTTTTTTTTTCTGCGTTTAATAAATGGGTGGGCAACTGTCCATATTAACAAATATGGATCTATATTATCATCTTAAATGGCTACATGGTAAGCCCCTGGGCAGCAGACAGATGTGCAGGTAGTTAACGGACTCCCTACTGATGGACACTTAAGCTATTTCCAATTTTTCCGCTCTTTTAAACAGTGTTGTGATGAACAGCCTTTTACACACATCTCTGCGCACTTGTCCAATTATTTACTGAGGATAAATTCTTGTCTATGAAATTATTTGGTCAAAGGGTTGGTATATTTTTGGGGGTACATAACACTTCACAGGACTCTGGAAAGACTGTGCCAAAAACACACCCCCTCTAAGCCATGCCCAAGAGCAGAAGGGTCTAGGATATTAACGATTCTGCCTCTACCCACAGTAAGAAATCCACCCGCAAGCCCTAACATCAGACCCAGGTACCTGTTTAATTTTTTTTTTTTTTCTGAGAGAGATGGTGTGAGCAGGGAAGGGTCAGAGAGAGAGGGAGACACAGAATCCAAAACAGGCTCCAGGCTCTGAGCTAGCTGTCAGCACAGAGCCCAACACGGGGCTCGAACCCACGAACCGTGAGATCATGACCTAAGCCGAAGTCGGACGCTCAACCGATTGAGCCACACAGGCGCCCCTGGACCCAGGTACCTCTTGCCTTGTTGTTGATCCTCTTTCTCTGGCTGCTGGAGGTGTGTGAGAGCAGGGTGGCTTGCTGGTGGTTCGAATCCACAGGGCTGGTGGCGATGATGTTATCTTTGTACTTATTCATCAGCGACAGTTTGGCGTTGTCGCTTCCTATGTGAGGAAAAGGCAAGGCAAAATCTTTCAGAGAAAAGGCCAAAAGGAAGTGAGAGCAACAAAATCTGCATGAACCACGTAAATGGAGTTTCACAGAACTGAAGTAAGGAACCTTTAAAGTGAGAGATTGTCAGAGGCTGAAACACTTCTGTCTGATGTCTGGAGGGCGACAACATTGAGAGAGGGGAGAAGAAGAATGATTACAACTGAAAATCCAAGTCAGTTGGTTGTGTTATTGATTAGGGTCACCATGTGTGGCCCTCTGGCTAGATGCAGATTCCTCTCTTTTGGTCAACGCAGAGTTTTAAAAGAAGCTGCATTTGAGTGCCTTTGGGCAGAACTTACCCCCTCTCTCCTCCATCCCAGTCTACACCCTTCCCTATTGTCTGACACCTAGCTACTGCACACGTCTGTGCTCCCTGCTGCTTCCTGAATGCACTGGGGTTTGAAACCCCTGAGTAACATACGGTTACCATCTCAGGGGAAAATTAAACTGCCTAAGCAAACATGCTAAATCCAAAAATGTCGTATGCAATGTTGATCTCTCTTCACTAGCTTCTTACCTCCCTGGGACTGCTCTATTATATACAAAAAGTGCTGTATCTAAACCCACTGTTCCTGTTGGATATAAAGGTGTCTGTGCTTCCAATGCAAAGTGCAAGTGGAGGGGGATTCAGTTTGTACTTGTTCTCCTGATTCCCCCCATAAGGAAACAGCTCCACCGTCTTGGGGAAAAGCTGGGAAAGGGGCACATGTATGCCATCAGGGAGGACGACCAGCTACCAAAATTGGAAAGCCGCCATTCCCTGCTCACTGGCTACTTCCCCAGGATGAAGACCCACTGGCCCACCTGGTGTGAGGTCCATCCCTGCCTTCTCGTTGCAGCCCTGCAGGGAGTCCAGGGTGCGGGTGACCTGGCTTGCAAAGTCCTCCCCTCCGTTCATGCACTCCCTCTGCAGGTGGTGGCGCAAGTCTGTGATGTCGTACTCATAGCCATCCAGGATGGGGGTCTCTCGGATGCTGAGGGTGCCGCTGGAGTTGTGGCCCTGCACACGGGCATTGCGAAGACTCTCCCGCCCATGCCCGCCAATCAGCACAGAGGGGATGTAGTGGATCTCATTGGCTGCCTCAGCGCTGGCGCTCTTCTGGGGCTGGGGTACCCGGCGGCGCTTGCACCAGCGCCGGCGAGTGTACAGGATCATCACCAGGCACAGAATGGACAGCAGCAGAGCGATCATGCCACCCTGGAAAGAGAGGACAGCAGACGGATGCGGGAGGATGGGCAAGCTCATCCCACAGAGAGGCACCGCCCTTCCCCCTCGCACCATCCATCACTCATTCATTCATTCACTCAGGTGCAGGAGGCCGGCATCGCTCAGCAGCAAAGAGACAGTGGGCCGTGATGGGTGCTTAAGGACAATGGAGAAAAATGGAATTGTGATGACCAGGGCTTCATTTAAGCGATCCACAGTTGCTTCTGGCTTAGCAAACAATTTGAAAGAGAAGTCTTTTGGGGTGTGTGTGTGTGTGTGTGTGTGACTTCAGCTGGAGAAACAAGGGAGGGTGGTATATTGTTAAGGCAAATCTGTTACACATAAAGCTGGTTTCCAGCCAAGTTTAAGCAGCAGGATGGTATGTCATTTCTTCCTGTCTTGCATCTTATAATCAGCCATGACAAGTTCTAACTCTGGCTACATCAATGACCAGCGAGTCCCCTCAGATCCATTGTCTGTGTAATAGAGAAGATGCCACTAAGCCTGGGAAGGTGGTGCTGAGGACTAAGTTAGGGAACTGTGCACAGTGCCTAACAGAGTGTGTCCCACAGAATCAGGGCCATCCTCAGCCTCACCTGAAATGTCCCCATTGGAGTAGGGAAGACCATCGACCCATCCAAAGATACATTTATGTCCACTAGGGATTCCCAAGCAAGCACTGGAGGACCTTCACCATTTGCACATGACTTTATGGATCCCTATGGCTTTAGGGCACAGTTTGCTCCCACTCGCACAGCCTTGAGTGATCTCTCATTCTTCTACAGCTCAAGGGAGGGACTGAGACCCATGTCCTAGAGCCAGGCTGCCAAAGGCGTTTCCTTCTGAACCTTCTCATGCTCCCAGGCCATCCTCTGAGGCCCCGCCTTAAACATCAGGACTCCACTCAGTCGTCTAGCAGTGGCTGGTACACCATACTGACATAAAACACTTGACCTTGACATCCACAGGGGCAGGGTTTGGAGGGAACCCATTGTTCCACAGGGCTCAGCAGGCACAGACCTTCCCCTGCACGATCTGTATTCACTCCTTTGATTTTGGTCAGTATCCCTCCAAACTTATTTCACTAGGTGGGGGTGTGCCAGATGGCTCTGCTCTCTACTCAGGCCACCCCATCACACAGGCTACAGATGAAAACCCCCTGTTAATTCCCACTGGCCCACCCACATAAGACTAGGTCAAGATCATTCCTTCAAACACACCAACAGGAGCTTTTTCCATTCTCGTGATAATTATATCTTGAGTTTATAACGTTCTTCCTCTCCCCATAAGCCTTCCCATTTACCCTCCCTCCCACATCATCACCTGCAGCAAAGGAGCACATGCCCCCGTGTGTACACACACAATGTGTTCAGGCACAGAGCGCAGCTGACACAGGAAGCAAGAGTCAGCTACCAGGTGACAAGTCACATCAGGTGGCTTGTTGGGGACATACACTGGCCGCCGGGTTTTTCAGATTTTTCTTTTATCTGTTGGAACCCTTTCTCCTGGTGAAATCCCTCATGCAAGTATACAGAAAGTATAAATAGGAAGCTGTCTGGGCTACCGTGGGGGGTGGGAGTCCAGACACAAGTATCCTAGGTCCTGGCTGACTGCTGCCTCCCTGTAGCTCACCCCTACCGTCTCTCCAGGCAGCCCTGCAGACACCCCCAGGGGGCCACAACCGGTACCCCGCTCTGCACCAGTTTGCTGAGAGCCCAGTGCTTGTGTTTTCGGCAGACCCTTTAACTGGGAGTCAGACTCGCCATCCTTTCCTTCACCCCAAATTGAAACTGCAACAATGGGCAATTAAGCCACACTGAAAGAATAACTTCCCAAGTGAGAGAAGTTGTCAGACATTGAATTAGGCTAGTGAAAGCAAGAGGTAATTTTATTCCCTAAAGAGCTATAAGAGCAGTATAAACATCAATCTCCTAGGAATGGCCGAAACACCATCCTTCCCACTCACACTGAGGTATTTGGGGGCCCCTCCGTGCCTCCCCTCAATTTCTCCTTTCAGATGATCACAACAGGATTTTGATCAGAGGCAGGCCAAAGATTCATCCCCCATATTATGCAGTAATAAAGCAAGAACAGTTGTCCTTTATGGGGTGGTTCCCATGTATCAGACATTTGTTCTAAATGCTCTTTTAACTCCTCAAGATAGGGTCAACTATTTCCCCATTTCACATTTGAAAGCCTAAGGCACAGAGGTTAAATAACTTGTCCAAGGGCACATAGCAAATAAAGGGTTGCGCAATGGGAACAAAATGCCTCCCATGGGAGAGCCTCCGTTCTTACCCACTAGGCTGCAGTGATGCTGTATACATACACTCTGGTTTCTATCTCCCAAATAGTAAGCGGGTGAGGGGAGGGAGTGTGGATAATCCCACTTAGATCTACCCTCACTTCTCAAACAAAAAACAGAAACTATTCAGAGTGCACATCTAACTGACAGTGGGTCAAAAGAGGCACCATCATAAACAAAGGATCTTTCACGGGGTGACCACGAAGTGTCCAAACCCAAGATTAATTAATTAATTAACCCAACACTTACGTTTCAAGATCTCTGTGCTAAAATAAGACAGCGCGCCTCACATATCACTACGTGCCTGGAGGATACTATTAGGTCTCAATTTAGTTAAATTTCCACAAAGAATTTGTTTTCTCCTTCAGTTGCGACTCCAGGTTCAGCGCCTCCCTTTCTGATGAAGAAACAAATGCCCAGAGAAACTACAAAACTAGACGGTGCCAGAGTTCTCGACCTGATCCTTTCCGTGGCACCGCTGTTAGGTTCATCTAAAACTTTCCGGGGCTGAGCCTGGGTGGCTCAGTCAGTTGAGCTTCTGACTCTTGATCTTGGCTCAGGTTATGATCCCAGGGTGGTGAGACTGAGCTCGGTGTTGGGCTGAGCGTAGAGCCTGCTTGAGATTCTCTCTCTTTCTCCCTCCCTCTGTCTCTCTCCCTTTGCCCCTCTCCCCCACTCAAGTTTTCTCTCTAAAATAAATAAATAAATAAAATTCCCTTTACCATGTGTGGCTCTAGACACTCCATTAGGAATATTTTATATGTACTTATTTCTTTAAATATAATGCATATACTTATTTTTCCAAGTATTTTAAATTTATTTTTATGTTTATTTTTAAAATATAATTTATTGTCAAGTTGGCTAACATACAGTGTATACAGTGTGCTCTTGGCTTCAGGGGTAGATTCCCGTGGTTCATCACTTCCATACAACATGCAGTGCTCATCCCAACAAGTGCCCTCCTCAATGCCCATCATCCATTTTCCTCTCTCCCCTGCCCCCACTACCACACAATCCATCCTCAGTTTGTTCTCTGTATTTAAGAGTCTCTTATGGTTTGCCTCCCTCCCTCTCTGGTTGTAACTATTTTCCCTCTTCTCTTCCTCCCTGGTCTTCTGGTAAGTTTCTCAAGTTCCACATATGAAGGAAAACATGATATCTGCCTTTCTCAGGCTTATTTCACTTAGCACAATATCCTCCAGTTGCATGCACGTTGCTGCAAATAGCAGGATTTCATTCTTTCTCATTGCCAAGCAGTATTTATTTATTTTTTAATAGTAACTTCTAGGGAGCTAGGACACAAGTTTCTGATTGCCTAAGCCAGTGTATTGAACATATCCAACCTTGCTTTATTGAAATGTTTTCCCTGCGTAGTCAGTGACTCCTGGCAACCTTAGGTTTTTCTTAATCTAGTTATTAGTAATGAGTCCCAGCCACTAGGTGAGGCTCAGCAAAGACATAAGAAAAGGGACTGTCAACTATTCAAGCTGTGGTAGGGTTTCACTGTTTCTACAACCCAAATTGGTGGCAGGTGTCACAACCTTTAGCAAGGATTTACTAATTGTGGTTTCATACACAAATAATCACATATATAATGCTATATGCTATTAATATATAATTTAATAAAACATTTTGTCATAATAATAATTTGTAAAATCACTATACACGCATTCCTCTGAACTGTTTACTACTCTACCCAGAGCAAAGGTCCTAGGTAGGGAAAAATGTAGATAGATCCTCCACTCTACTAGGAGGGGCCATAGATGTAGCCACCTTGATAACTGTCCTTCTACAATGATGTCCTTCTACAATGATCCAGGGCTCCCGTTCAATCGCTTTCGCATTCCTGTGATAAACCATAGTTTTTGCTTTCAGCATTATGTCGACCTCCCTACTTCCACAGAGAATTTTAAGCGGTTTCAATTTAAGGCAGACGCGCTCTAAAATTCCTCTCTCAAGGAATCTAACAGACCAAAGAAGTGGCAGATGAAATGAAAAGAGCACCTGAACCAGGTATAGCTAGGAGCTTCCTGATAACCAAGTCAAAAAGAGAAAGGCAAGCTGCACACATCTTCTTGTTTGACAATAAAGTTTGGTGGGAGGGACAAACATCCTCCATACATTCAACCCCAGACAAGACGTCACAATGGCAACGTCATCACCCAAGGCTTCACACAAAACACACAGGAATTCACACATGCGCTCCTGGCTTTTCATTTCTGTATTCCCTTAGCTGCGCTCAGAGGGTATTCTTTATGTACGTGTCTTAGATTCCATTTTCATGGCATTCAAAACAAAGCAAAACAAAGCAAAAGCATTAAGGTACATCTGGACCCAATGACAGGTAACAAGTTGCAAACTTCAAACATTCAGAAAAAAAAAATTACTGCAAGGTATGAAACTGTTTTGTTTGTTATTCGACTTTCCATGAGTTTTCTGATTATTCTATTGATTTTTCTCAAAACCATAAGATTTTATAACTAGAAGCACGTTTGGGGTATATGAGAACTCCACATCCATTAATAAGTTGCATGCAAAAAAGTGGCATTTAAAAATATTTTTTCTTTTAGAATCAATAAATCATTTATACTGGCTTGAATTGAAATTAAAAAAATGAAATCAGCTTTTATTTTATTTTGAAACTGACATTTTCAGCACTTACCTGAGAGAATAGTATGATGTTTGT